ATAGCATAATTACAAATCAGTTAATAGAGATATTGATACAAAACAAGAAGAGAGATAAAAGAAAATACAGTTTCTATGCTGATGACATTATGATTGTTATCATTGTGAAGAATAATATAAAAATAGTATCAACTATAATGTAAAAATGTTCAATAAACAATTAGAAAAAGGATTAAACATACTTACCAAAAAGGAACTACAAAACAAGGAAGAACTCATCTCAGTAAAAGATGATTCTGAAACTAAACATTTCAGAAGTTAATTATAATTTTGTAAATGCACTTGATATAGTGTCTTGCTGGTAATTTTTACCTATAATAAAACTTTTTCAAACTTGCGATCTACTGCGATCTACAACTTTCATATAACAATAAAGTAAAAAAAATTTCTACCAAGTATATATTTTTATTTTAAACAGCCAATATAATTGGTCAGAATCACGTGCCTATACCTGCGATTTTGTTAAAGCAGTATGATAACTAAATATAACTACTTAAATGGATGATACTCAAGAACAAGAACGGAAAAAATTGAATCACGACCTGCCTATTTCAACATCCCTTGGGCCGTGGATCTCAAGTGAAATAGATAGAAAGATTGGCGCTTTCTTTGCTCGTGAAGCAGGTTTCACTAGCGTTACTCCTTCTGCATATGAAGCGCTAGGGAATTTATTGGGTTTATGTATTTATTATATTGCTGCTTCATGAAGTGAAATTTAAATTGCTCGTATGAAAGAAAGTAATAAGCAAATTGCTACTTTGCATTTGCAGACCTTGGCAATATAATCAAAACTACACGGGCCTACGCTGAGCTTGCGTGCAGAGCGCAACCAAATATTAATGATATAGAGAAAAGTCTTAAGGATTGGAATATCAGGACGGGTGCACTTGAAGACCATATGGAAAAGTGTCGAGGTAACACGATGTAATGTGCTTTATTTAAATTAATTCGTAACTGACAATTTCAATTCTCGCAAAGAACGCTACACGATTGATCTTACTCGCTAAATATTTTTAATTACAATGCTGGAAATTTGGCAGCAAAGGAAAATTATCGCGCTTTTGCTTCAAAATTCTTATCATCATTACAACCAAGATCATCAGCTATAGAGTCTTCAACTATATTCGTTCCTGAAGATATAATATTGGAAGGTGAAGAGGAGAACTTCGATGGATCAAATAATAACAAGCGATCAAGAAATTTATTTACGTCATCGACTCATACATTTCGGCCGAATTACGTACCATTATATATGCCCCCTTTCCCAAGCAAACATTCATATAAAAAAACACCAGTAAAGCATCAATTAATGCATGCATATGTTTTAACGATTTATATTTTATTTATAAATATGTCTTGTGTTTAAAAGGTATATCCGAAGCGACATGAGAATGACCCCGTAAAATTTCGAGAATCGAGTTTAACTCAGGTGAAATTAGTCGAGAAAAGTCTGCGGCGACTTGCAGAGCATCATGAGAATCCAAAAGATCAAACCATTATTCAATTGAGTATTCCGGATTCACCATCTTCATCTTCGACTGTTGTGTCAGCTAACTCTTCGCCTTCGGATTACGACAAATCATTGATATCAACATCGATTTCAACTTTTGATTCAGCGATTTTGCATGCAAGCACTAACAAGAGCAATCCTATAACATTGAACAAATCTATTAATAATAGTTTTAAGAAACGAAAGAATGTTCAAACATCTTGGGAAGAGTTGAATGATTAGAAGATTTTGCGTGAATACTATATCTATTCTTTGAGCATTTTATTTGTGAACTCTAGTTTTTTTATACGAAAACTGCCGTCCTAATATATTGTATTCACCTATTTTCTTTAAAATGCATAAATAAATAGAACCTAAACAAATACTGGAAGTAAATTGATTTAAATAATCATGTGATCATGAAATTATTAATTATCATACAGTGATAGTGGGAGTTTTGGTGATAGTATTGAAGTTTAGTGAATAGGCATTTAGAAGTAGGGTTTGAACTGGGTTTGAAATATTAATAAATATTTGGTTAATATCGGTTTGAAAATGTGAGGGTAACATTGTGTTAAGCGAAAGTTCGTGAAATACGTGATCGAAGAAATCGGCGATCACGTGCTTTGTGTTATGTTTCGTTAACGTTAACACGAGATTTATTTATGTCATCTAAGGTCTATTTGTAACGTGAAATGCACACGTTTTTTTAATTGTCCGGAGCATATCGGAGGACGCTTAATTACTATGCAAAGTGATACAAAAGTTACGTTTTTGATGCATCAAAGTATTGTTCCTGATGCATCCTTAATAAGAATATCAAAAACATAACTTTGAATTTTCCGTCTGTCTCCACTTGCGATTTTACTTATTTACCCTCACCGTCTGATTGGATGACGATCTTTCTATCGCTGATTGGATAAAATTGGTACATCACTTATTGGGTTGATCATATTCAGTATATAATTTAAAAAAAATTATTTATTTTTGATTTTAATCAAAGTTTACTAATATTATTTTCTTAAAGCATGCAATTAATGTATTATTTTGCTATTTGTTTATTTATTTAATTATATTACAGTATACACACTAGTATATATAGTTAATATATGATTAACAGTCTTTATTTTATTTTTTTTTTGATATTAAGGTGATCTTTTTTGGTTTTTTGATTTTTATTAATAACTTTTTTGGTAGTGTGATCTTATAAATCACTATACAAAGAGTGTACAATTGATTATATACAGTATATAACTTTTTTATATTACCTATTTAAGAAGTTTGCTTAAAAATTTCTTACTAATTATTATTTTTAATATTTTTGTTTAGATGTTTTATTTTAAACCTTCTGAACATGCATCTGTGCTATATTACTAAATCAAACATAGGTTATCATCTTAATTTTAGGATTAATTTATCTTTGAAATAAATTTTTCAAAATCTTTTATATTTATTTTTATAGCTAATTTAGTATTATTATAACAGAACTAATAATTTTTTTTTTTTTTTTTAATCTTAAATAGTTATGTTAGTACTTTATTAAGATTCTTGAAACTATATATCTATACAATTATATAGAATTTCCTAACATCTAAGTCTAGCATCACTTGGCCACCCTAATGGTACCTAAGTGCAACCTGTCGCATTATCCTAGTTAAGAATAGACTGCTTGTCTAACTACTTAAAGCTATACCAGAAGGGTTTTTCCTCTTCTGTAACAAGCATATTTATTGTTTTCAAAGTTTCTTTTTTCATTTGGTCTGTCTTTTCTGCCTTCTGTTCTTTTATTTCTTCTTTAGCTTGTTTATTTTTCTTTATTTTTTTCTTTGGTTTACCTTTTGCACAAGCACCTTTTTTCATTTTATTTGTTATATTGATCTTCTTCTCTCAAGCTTGTATTTTTTCACATTGCACCCTTTATACTTGGTCATAGAAAGTGTTTCATACTGTTCTTGTGACTATGTCTATGCATTTCTGTATTGCTTGCTTACTTAGGAGTTGTTCCAATCTTTTTTCTATTTTTAGCATTATAAGTTCTTTTATTAGCATTTTTCTGTTTGTGATTTCTTCTGCTTCTGTTTCTCTGAATAATGTCTTATAAAGAACTTGTGATGGAATTCTATTTTTCTCCTCTTCTTTGAGTCTATTTCATGCTGTCACTGTTATGACTTTTTGGATTCATTTTCACAAACTCTTTTGTTTATTACAACTTGTTAGATATACCTGAATTTCTTTTTCTTTAACTTGGCATACTTGACATTCTATTGTTGTATATATTTCTGGTCTTCTTCTGTTTAGCTCCTCAAGTGTTTATAGACTATCCATTATGCACTTAATTGCTATAGTTCTTCTTGTGCTGAGTTTTCTTAATGTATAATGGACTTCTTTTGTTTTGTTCATTTCTTTTCAAAAACTTGATCAATTATATAATGCATTTTCTGTCTCTGGTTCTAATGTCCGTATTGGGTTTGTCTCTCTTCAACTAGTTTTTATTTTGGTATTTGCTATTATTTTACACAGAAGTCTTGCCAATATGTCAATTTTCTTGTTTTTTTATTCTAAATAGTACTCTATCTCATCATATTTAACTTTATCTGCATATATTTTATTTTAGTATTTTGTTTTTTTTTTTGCAAGAAGGTCTGCTCTGTTGTTCCACTTATTTACATTGTAACTTTTAAGCTTAATTATTTCTATTCTAATGTTCTTATTCTTGATTAGATCTACAATGTTCATTATCCATATTGCATTTTTCTTTTTCAGAATTCTTTTCTTTTCTACACTTTGAAGTGTTCTATTAATGTTCCTTAATGTTGCTATGCTGTTTGTAAACATTTCTATGCTTTTCTCTTCTGGTATTGTTAGGATTGCTGCCCATATTGCTGTTAATTTTGTTATTGTTGCTAATGGTCAGCCTTCAAGTCCTAATGCAATTTCCTTCTTTGGCTAGTCTTCTTTCTTTTTTATTTGTATCCAGCTGATACCTATTTTTCCTGTATCATTTTCTTCTTTCTTCTTATATAATGCTCTATCAGTATAGAAACTGTATTTTCTTTTATCTCTCTTCTTGTTTTGTATCAATATCTCTATTAACTGATTTGTAATTATGCTATTTAATTCTTGTTTTCTAATCAGTTCAATTTCTAATTCTTCTGTTTGTCTTATTCCTAATAACTTTATTTCATCTCTTTTCCATTCTTCTATTATTCTATCTTCTAGTATCTGCTCTAATGTTGCATTTATTCTATTGTTAGTTTTTTCTATTAACAACTCTGGTATCACTTTCATGTTGTGGTCTTGTCTTATCCATCTTTCACATTTGTCTATCATTTGTTCTAAACTGTTTCCACAACCTTTGCATATATTTTATTCTGTTGATGTTTTTTCTTTTTCTGTATGCATTAACCAATATTCTGTTAACATTTTTTTCTTTTTCTTCTTAATTACTCTGCCTACTTGTCGATTGTGTTTGGGTCTATAAACAATCTATTTTTTCTTCTTTCAGTCTTTAGTCATTTTTGTCTACTTGATCTTTAGTGCTTGTGTGTTGTACCTTCTTATTTTATATTAGTCTTGTATTTCTCTGTATGCTTGTGTTTTCAACATCTTTTCTTCTATTTCGCTAAACCACTTAGCTTTCTTTCCTTTATATGATAAACTTTGAAGGCTCTTGAGCTGTCTCTATGTGATTAGGTTATTACCTTTCATATCTATAAGTTGATTTATGTATAACAATCTCCTTTCATTTATTGTGCTACTGCTTGCTATTCATGTTTTGGTTTTTAGTATGTCTCTTATCTGTTTATCATGTTCATAAACCTTCCACAAGGGTTTTTTTGCTCTAATGTTTATTCCTATTTCTTTTGCTTCAGCTATTGTTCGACAGGCTAGGTTGTTCTTTTAGAACTTTTATTTTCCTATTATTGTCCCAAATGTCTTCTGTTAAGCCTGCTTTTTGGCATCTTTAAGCTATTTTAAGTCTTGTTAATTCATTTAAACTATCTTGCCTATTGAGTCTTGAGAAAAGACTACTTATTTGCTTAGTTATTATCTTCTGACTTAGTGTTTTACAATTATCTAAGTCTTTGTGCTCAATTGTGCAGTTATTTGATGTTTTCATCATGTTGCACTTATATTTCGCCAAGTATATTAATGGTTGATGTATTTTGTCAATCATCTTTTTTGACATTTTTGTTAGCTGTAAGAGATATCCTAGCTTAGGAATTATTACTGTATTGTTTATGTATGTGATTTGGCTCATTGTCATCTTTTTGTATCTCAGATCTTTAACTGTTTGACTAACTATTTCTTTTGCTTTCTTACAGACTAGTGCTTCTCTCATTTGGCTATTTAGCCATATTCTTAATAATTTTACAATTTTGTTTTTAGGTTCTTCTATTATTTTACTATAGCCAAATGTAATTTTTCTTTCTTCTTTTTTCATTCTTGTGTTCATTACTATGAGCTTTGATTTGGATCTATTTATTTCAATATCATTTGCTTTAAAGAACTTTTCTGTAATGCTTAAAATTCTTAACATTTGTTCTTTACTGTTCGTAATCCATGTTGTATTATTGGCATATACAATTGCTACTTGTTTGTTACTTGTAATGTTATCAATGCATACTTTTTCTGCAATTCTCTATTCTACTCTATAGCCTAATGTTTCATCTTCTTGTATTCTTTCTAATAATGGATCATAGAAGAGATGCCAAATTAATGATGAAATTACCTTTCCTTGGTCTATTCTGTCTCTTGTTGTTATTTCTTTTGTTAGACCATAGGCTGTAATGATTTTGAGTTGCTGATTACAAAATAGGTTGCTTATATATTTCCTTGTTTTTTTGTGAGATTTTGACTTTTTTTGATGCCCAATCTAGGCTTTCTAATAGAACTAAGTCAAATGCTTTTTTCATATCTTGTAACAAAATTCAAATTTCTTTATTTTTTTCTTGTGCCTCCTCCATTATCATATTTAGTATATGTATTGGCTGCTCTGTTGAATTGCCTAGCAGGCCTGCAAAATTTGTTTCTTTGAGTATGTTTCTTTCAGTAAACACTCTGGCTAATCTTTTTGTCACAACTTTTGTAATGACTTTCCTAAAAGTCTCTATTAATGCTATTGGTCTGATGTTGTTTAAACAGTAACCCCAATCTATGTCTTTTGGAATTGGATATATTTGTGCAATTTTCCACTTCTTTGGTATGCCTCCTTTTTCTAAAATCAAATTTGCGAAGGCTCT